CGAGTAATTGATACGACGGTTAATAAATCGGGAATAAGTTCGGTTAATGGGTCGGCTGGCGCGGCGGAACAATGAATACGAGAGTAGTCGGTGCTCCGTCTGGTAGCATCGGGACGTAAACAGGTCCAGGTGTGCACGCATAAACTACGGAGCGCGTTGCCAGCTGACGTGCGCGAGACTTCAACGTTAACAGCTTCATAAGGATATACGAGATACTGGCCGAACTATCTTCGTTTTACCGACAGTAAAGCCGGGGGGGACGCCTCAGGACAGAACTATCAAATTCGACTGTTCGTATGACGGAAATTAAAGGCGATCAATGTGTTGTTAACCACTCCCTGCTACACGGAACGATTTTCATCTGAATAATCCGAATTTTCCGCAAATAAACTCCGTTTCTCTATTCGTACAACATTGGAATCGACACGCGAAGTATCCATCGCCGTTGAAAAACCTTCGCAGTATCCCCAACACCGCAGCAGTTCAATTAGAAAGTTACGCACATTCACGGCGAGAGAATTCGTCGAGTGCAAAGACTCGATGAATAGATCGCGCACGGTCAGGTACTCCATTGCGGCGGGAGTCCTTCGCGGCGATCGAAATATTACGGCCGACTGGGAACGACACATTAGGACGTCCGCAATCCGGACTCGATTCGCGGAGATGCAATTCCGTTAATTAAAGGATACGGAACTGCCGGAAAGAGGAGAGAAGAAAGTTCCAGGAACCCGTCGCGTCGGCCCGTACGCCGGAAATGATTTAACAGAGCACTAGCGGGTGGACGTAATTAGGGCATAGGTCGTAAAAATGCTGGGGCCAGCGGCTGCCTCGCGAATTTTATTTTCCGCCGACCACCGCCGCACGGCGGACTCCGGGCAAGGTTTACGAGCCGGGCAAACGGGCGAATAACACGGTCGCGCGCGGAAACGCGCTCACACGCGCGCAGACATCGCGTTCGGCTCACGTGGTATTGATTAAAGAGCTCTTTGAACTCCTTCGTTTCGTCTGCCGTCCTCTTCCGACCACCCTCGGAACACGGCCAGCCTCCCTTTCCGCCTTTCCCTCTGTGTATCGAGAAATCTGCGACCGCGGAGGGCGGCAGTTCGAAAGGTACCGTCAAAGACGCCTCGTTTGGCCTCCGACCGAGCCGCGTTGTGTTTAAACGTCCCTTTTCACGGCGAGCGCGGGGGACCGCGTAACGTTGCCAATTTTTTCGCTTTAACGTTCCTCGGCCTTGCGACTTTTCAACGGCCCTGCCACCTCCCGTCCTAATGAGAAGTGGCCCCCGGCGTCACTCGAGCGGTCGCTCTGATCAGAAAATTTGTGGAGATTGAACTGTTATTTCGCGAGAACCACGAATTTACCAGTTCTTTTTCTAACAACGTCGCGAATAAAATAACTGTGTACATTTCGTTTGAGATTTTCGCGTTCATTGACGGCGGATAAAAGATAGAGGACTATATTTATTTAATTGACTCTAGAACGACCGAGTAATCTGAATTATCTGCGTCTAACTATTTATCGAAATTGGAACAATACGTTTCTTGAAATTTGGAGAGTGAGATGATGTATTTAGCTCTAGCGTTAAGTGAAAGCACATTCGTGGAACAAAAGCTTCGTGGATATGGGAAGTTAGGAATTCACTGAAAGCATCCTTCTGACGATCAAATATGAGAACATCGGAACATTCGACGCAGTAACAACCATTCCGTGTGGCTTTGCAGCGTTCCGCTTACTTCGAGGAAGCTAGGAAATCCGTGCGGACGAGGAACGGGGTATCGACAAGCAGAGTCTTGTTCCAAGAATATCCTTTGAAAAATTAACAACCGACGAGAAAGCGGAGGCCCGATTAATAAACCAGCGTCTTCCTTTGCGAATATCTTGAACGTAAAATAAGATCCGTTGGGTAAATATTGCAGCTCGTCGAGCACGTAGCAACCTAAAATAGTCTCGAATAAATCATGGTCAAAGATCAGAAACGATCCAACAAAAGAAAAGAAGTGAAACGATTGTAAATAAATGGAAAACAATAATAAACACCCAGAGTAGATCACATACAGCAATAGTATATGTAACTCGAATAACCTTGGTATCGCTATAAACCTTAACCATCGCGAGTAACTTATTAACAAACTATCGTTTCTCGGAGGATTCCTATAGAACATTCTATTGCCACTTCAGTTAGCAGAGAATCGGCTGATCTTCTTTTATCCAAAGCGCACGCCGGTGAATGGTAGCAACTCGAGCATATCGGTCAGCCTTCTCCAGGTCTCTCCTTCCTCGCCACCGTTCGATGGCAACTAATTGTAAGAAGAAGATCCACAAACGCTGCCGATCCACCTAAGGCGTTGCGCAAACCAAGAAATCCGTGGCGGTTAGCTGCGGAAGGTCTCGGGAGGAGGCGGCGCACCGGGCTGGCTGGATCGAGGTTAAAGGCGCCAGCGATTAGGGTAAGCGATCCCCGGAGGGTTCCCGAGCTCGCTCCCTCTCGGCCGCGTCCCAATCTTGTTTGCAACCCGACATTAAAACTTTCTCAAAGCACCGCACCAACCATTTTCGGGGCATCTCCTTGTCGTTCCCCGTCGCGACAGACTCCGGGCGTCCAGATTCGGATCCCACCCCGGGCTCCTCAATCGGCTCATGTTCTTATAAGGATTACTATCTGCTTTCGAGAGACGACGGTACGTCTAGCCGGAGGTATTACCCCGAGAAAAAAGTGGTAATATGGAGATTCCGACTGCCTTTGGGAAGGATTAACGGGGGCGGCCCGGAACACGCCGAGGATGAATGTTAAGCCACGGGGACTGGGGTTTACACAATCTGGACGATTGGAAGCTGTTACTTTTTAACCGATTCACTTCGGACCCTGATTTGCTTGTTATTAGCCCCTTGCATTCGAAACTTTTCTTTCAATCGTATTACCAGCAACTCGAATGAAATTTTAATGGAAAAAGTATATTCCTGTACACGAGTCTCTCAGATTCTGATATTTGTGAATTTTAATGGAATAAGTAGTGTTCTCTTTAATTATTAAGGGATTTACTCGTTTCTCCAGGTTTTCTAGGTCAGGAAGCCCTCCTTTTTATAGCTTCTGAATATGTTGCATAATCACTTCAGATTACGAACTAAACGCGTTGAGGTCTCTGATTTACTTGGAAGCAGTACCGTTTAATGTACCATCTGCACGCGACTGATAAAGAAACGGAGCAGACGATTTCAACGACAGGGAGAACCGATTTGCGAGCAACGGGGAGACTTTTAAACTTGCAGAATTCCCAACTTTCGCAATTTGTCCCGAGCGCATTCTTACCGGCGCGGAGACTGAAAAAGTTGAAAAACGAATCTATTATTTGTACTCCCGACACCGGAAGCGTTACTCAAACAACAACGTGTACCGCTGAATCGATGGATCTCCTCGAATCGAGCCGAGGAGTTACTCGATCCTTTTTCAACGGCATTTCCGCGACGATCCCGTAATCCTCTTGATAATCCAAGCGGACAGTTTATCGGCTGTTTCCGTTACAAACGGTCCCCGCGATGATGCTCCGAGTGTTCCATCCGCCCCGCCGCCGCGCGTACCGGAAACGCGAGATTAAAGGAACGAGGGACGGAGAAAAAGGAGCAGCGGCCGCAGGAACAGATTTCGCTGGATATTTTATAGCGCGGCCGGTTCAGATATTCGCAAAGGGACGTCGGCGAATAAAAATTCCACGGGTGCACGCGTCGGGTAAACCGGCCGCCGCGTGCGCGGAGAATCCAGAATTATTATTACGCTTCCTTAATTCAATCAACGCTGGACCGGTCTTACGCGCAGGACGCGAAGGAGTTCTCGACGCGTGACAGGTCGAGGAGCCCGTCATTAATTATGTAATTTGTTCGTTGGACGTCCGCGAAGGAGCCGAGCCGCGCGGCGCGCGCCGGATTCAATGGCGGAAAGTTTACGGAACCGGGTTTTTGCGATCCACGTAGCCGGCCGCTAACGCAAATGAGAGAGGGATCCGCCTTGTGCATACAGAAGGACGCGAATGCGGTTGCGGAGGCTTGCGGTCTTTTTCGCTTTGAGGGTAAACATAATTCGCGGCTCAGCCTCGTCTCCGCCCCTCGCGCGGGGCCGTTCCTCGCGCGACGCCGGCTCCTCGAACGCGCGTTCCTTAACCTCGGCTTGGAAATTATCTTGCAAATGAAACTTTCATTCGACACTTTAAGGCCCCCGGGAAACGTCGACGTTGACGAGCCGCAAACCCACGGCGAGGTCCCAGTCTTCGGGAACGCCGGCTGCAGACGCGCCAGTTGATAACAGTTACGATATCGGCTCTGGTTCTCTGAGACAGCCTGGAGAACCGAAATGCAGTTATAACTGTTATTAGGGATATCGGTTTCGTATCGGTTTCGCTGCGAGTTCCTTGGAATCGATAATATATCGGTTCTGTGTTGGTTCTATATCCGTTGTTTTTTGGTTCTTGCAGAAATACACAGTCGAAATGCAGGGTGGAGGAATCTGTTCGAACGAGAAGCTTGAGAAGGTATTTAAGTGAATATTATATGCAAAGAATTTGGCGTACTATTCTAATTTAGACATCGAAGCAAGGGCTTCTAGAAGAAAGTTACTTCACGGTTTACCATTATTACCAAATTCTGTCGGCATGCAACGCGTTGATAAAATAATTCGCAAACAGCGGAGATCTCTGTGATCTCGTCGTCGATGCAATCGCTGGGAACAATTAGCTCGGCTTCGTTACGTACCTGGTGTCCGACTCGGTGTCAATTGCGCGGAAAAAGCGAGGATTTCGTCCCTCGAAGTTCAATTTTCTCTATGCATACCTGCTGCAGCGGAACGCGCTGGTGAAGATCCTTCGGCGCGCAATGGAACGTCGAGAACCCGCGTACACACGCGTGCATTTACCAGCGCCAAGCTGGTTCGCAGCTCCTAAGTTCCGAGCGCAGCATTTTTTCCTCTCGTTTCCCTTTCTTCCGCGTCTCGCGTTCCATCTTCCTTTTCCCCGTTCCTTGTCGTTTTGCCGCTTTTGAACGCGAAATACGCGATATGCATTTCTTCCCGGGGAAAAACAGTGGAACCGCTTTTGTAGTGAACGACGACGTCGGTGGGCGAGAGTCAGACCCGTGTCTCGTCTCCGGCGCGGCAGCCTTCTGAAAGCAAAACAAACGTTTTCGCAATCACGGCCTTTGTGACGGAGTAAGCTTTCTGCCCGAGAAAAACTGGGGCGCGCCGGGAATCCGTTTATTCGATAGAAAAATGCAAGAAACCGGCGAAGGAAACGGGGAGGACGGCCGTGCCCGCCCCGAGACCGTCGGCGAGGCATCATTCACGGCGACTTTATGAATGAAAACAGTGGCTCGACCCCGTCTAATAGGATTCGATATCGAATTGCACCGACGCGGCGTCGGCCACGAACTCGTTTCGCGGATTTCGGCGCGTTTGACGAACGATTCTGCGAATTCGATCGAAAAAAAGCATTAACGCCACATTTACGGAACCCATCAGTTTCACGGATATTGAGTTTTTCAAACGTTATTGCGTAGCAATTTAAGTCGACTCTGATTCCAATTCTCTTGCGCAATAACCTAGGTGTACCGAGTCGTTTCGTCGATGAATCTGATTTTCATGTTGGAGCACCAGCGCGGGCTATAAAACGTGCAATCGGGACAGTGATGTTCTCGAACGTCGCGTGTCCACGTCGAAATTGCTTTGGTAACGTTCTTGAAGCGCAAAACAACGAAGGAAAACCGAGGTTTTTCGAAATTTTCATACGGCCGCGTCCCTTTGAATCGTGAATGGGTTCCCGTGCGTGCGGCTCGGCTCCGTGGCTTCGAATGCGCCGATATTTATGAAGCAATAATAATATTTTACGCTCCAGTCCCGTCGTTAATAACAAACACTTTGGGATTATTTGCGCGACCCTACAGAGTCACGGAATGAATTGTGTATATAATATTCACGCGGCGAATCGCGTCGTCGAACAGCTCCGTGGAAAAGAGTTAATTTATGAAGCGGAATTTCCGCGATTTTCGAGGCGAAAGAATCGGGCAGGCGGCTTTCAGAATTCTATAGAGATATCTTATTGACCTGTTCCCTCTTGGCTCCACCCCCCGTTCCCCTTTCTGCCCGGCTATCTCTCCTCTTCCTTGTCTCTTCCACCGTTTCTTCCCTCCCGTCCTCTCCTCGCAGCGATTCGCTTTATATTCTATTTGCCCGATCCAATTAATTAAATGAATCCGTTCGGGTGTATTTAATTACAATCATGAGCGGCAGAGAATTTCGCCGGACGATGTAACCTACCATCGAATAAATCGATATCTCGATATCGTTCTCGCGCAAAGGAAATAACCGATGAAAGGTTTACGGTGGCCATTGTATCTGGTATTTGGTAAATGGGGAATAGAACAATATTATGTATCCCGGCCCGTTCATTATTTCGACCGTTTTCCAACCGGGGGAATTATAACGGAAACACGAGTCGAGCGTCGCCTATTGAATATCACTTAAATTCGATTGATGATTTAAACTGGTGACATGTAATCCGTGTCACTTCGAGTTATTATTAAATTACGCGCGAACGCGCCCGTAATTTCACAGGTGAAATCACCCTATCCCCCGATAATGGACTGCGATAGACGTAAAAACAAAATTCGAGTATTAACATTATACCCGCCGATACGCGCGATATATTAATTAAATGCGGCCTCTCCTCGTTCCTCCCTCGATATCGCAGTAGATTCGATTTCCATCGGCGAAAACATCGCTGCGTGTTTCATTAAATCTTTTTTCGGTCTTTTTTCGCGCGCGACTCCGAACCGTGTCTCGCTCCTATCGGATTTCAATCGCTCTGATTAATCGTCGTTGAACTTTGACAATCGACGCGTCGAAAATTTCAGTGCCGCTTTCAACGGCTCGCGTATCGTTTTCGTTGCGCTACCGGTTCAGTCCCCAGTGAAGAAGTGCTCGTACGTTCCGATTATTTACGTCGCTCGGCTGAAGTATGCTAATGACCGCCGGCGTAACGCGTGGGCGTCACCGAGAAATCCGAAACCCGGCGAGATCGAGCGCGGAACGAGCCGTCACGCGGCCAATGGAATCGTCGCGTAACACAGTGCAAACGAATCTCAGTTTTAACGTCTTATCGACAGCACGATGTTCGCTCATCTGGCATCGAAAGTTGTAATCGAAAAATTTCATTTCAATTTCATTGAGATTTCGAGAGTGTTAGCATCACGGAAATTTATACTCCAGTTCATTCCAGTACTCCTAGACGAACTATCGTTCAGTTAAACGCTGGAAATTAGAGGTGTAACGATCAGAACGCATAGTCGTGTAATCGCATCGATCAGAATCGACGTAAACATTGACCGAATAATGTTTGGAAAATTCAGTACACATCATATAGACGCGATACGGAAAGCTAGTATAATGTTTGGAAAATTCAATACACATCAAATAGACGCGATACGGAAACCTAGTGTCAATAAACGCGATTCCTCGACGCCATCGAAACGAATTTCATTTTTCCCGCGACGCGTTCCAACGGATTTCGATCGCGTAACGCTTCGCAATTAGTCGAGGGAGGCGGCCGCACTGGAACAGGGCACCATCCGATCGTCATTAGCTCCGTCGCTGTCGTCAACGATCGAAAGAGTACCATTCGCGGGGATTATCGTTTAGGTTTGATTACCATGGAATAAGTTACGTGTGGCGAACGGGGAGTGGCACGAGGAAAAAGGTGATGCGCGAGTCCGCACGCAACGCGCGGGATTCGGTATCATTACCAAAGAAGGGAAAAAGATTAATCATTTTATAACTCAGTAACACACACCGGCAACGCGTTCAATTACTCCTCTGGCTGTTATTTGCAGAACAAGTAATTATTGTTGGACCGGTTCTTTTACAACGTTTCCGTAATAAGAGAAAAATATTTGATTTTATGTTCGCTTATCGTTCCAGTCCTCTCCCCCCGCTGAAAAGAAACGGAGAGCCCGATACACGTCCGCATGACCGATCTTCCGTGTCAGTTGCGAGGCTGAAGGAGAATCCACGTGGAAGGATGCGGCTCGAACAATTCAATTTTCTGGCCGAAGGATTACTTCGCGCTCAGGCCAGAAATCAAAAGCCCGAGCACCGCCGCTTTCAGCTGTCCCGATGCTGATTACGGGCCGGCCCTATTGCAACGGGGCCACAAATCACTGCGAGTAACGGTTGACATCGGTGGCCGGCCGTTCCGAATTAAATGTCCACCGCCTAATTTTCTAAAGTGAACTCGCTATTCGACGACAGCGGAGAAACTCGGATATCCGATGTTATTGACAGGGTTCGCAGAGCGGCCTGCTTTCGTTTATTCTGCGGTAGTCTTCGGCGGTCGAGTAAACGGATGTTGTTCTCGAAAGAACTTGATGCCAGTTCATTTGAAAATTTCTAACTATTTCTGTTTCCATTTGAAGCATATATAACGCATTTATGTGTGAAGCATTGAAATGAAATACCCTTGTTACTTAATTTATTCGTGATTTCTCGTTAAGTTAATTCTGAAGAGCGTTATTTATGTCTCACTGGAAAACGATGAATGCTTCCAGTGAAAAACCTCCGAGCGTAAAAGATTAAGGGTTGCTTAAAATATGATATTCGCCATTTCTATAGGTAATCTCAAGGATTCACAGATGGAATCTCGTTTGCAGAGACGTGGAAGACCGCATAGAAGCTGAGAAATGAAATTTAATTTCCGTGTAAGTAGAACATAAACTGGTTTATTTAAATACTTGAAATGAGAGTGAAACGGCCGCGCTGCGCCTCGCGAAACATCAAACGATCGTTAACGTTGAGAACCACTGCCGGCAACTCGTGTCTCACGGAAATATTTTATTTCCCCAATCGAAAACGGAATCTCTATTGCGGATTTCTTTGATGGTTTCCGTACGAAATGGGTCAGCTTTACCGCGGGGTGCACTTAAATGTTGCGTCAGACCCTTACAGTCCAGTTCGCTTCAAAGATTGTTTAAACACATTCAAATATTTACCATTTCAAAGGAGCATTTCATCATTTCATTCAAGGGAACCTTTATAATCATTTTCCGCGAGAAACCTTTGTAGAATCACCGCGGTACGACGAGTACAGCATTTCTAAAATTGTAAATTTCAGTTTTTCTTCTGTAATTTCGAACGAAGGCAAACATTTTCATCAATTTCGAATCTCCGACTGTTATCTAACACGTCGGACGATATGATTCTTTAACCTTGACTTACTTTAAGTCCAGGATCACCGGTGAACCCACGGCATTCACCGTATTAACTCATCAAACGTCAACGCTCCGGAACTCATCCGAGGTAACGGAACTGAACTCGCGCGACTCACGATCATTAGCGCGGTTAATCAAGTTCCGCGGGCAACCAGCGCGGAGTGTCGGCTGGCCGAGGAATGCCGCGTAAAAAGGTACCTCCCGCGAGGAACACGGTAACCGGGCCAGTAATTATTTCAACGCCGTAGCTAGGGCTTCCTCGCGTCAGTTCCCACCTGTGCCGCGCGTCTCGGTGTAAATAGTCGAGTTCCGATGAAGGAAACGCTCCGACGGGAAAGTTGAACGAAGAGGGAAATCGTTAATGCCGCGTGGGAGGGGTCGCGGTGGTGAGGGCGGAGGGGGCAGGAAACAGGTCGGAGTTCCCGCAAGTAGCGGGCTCTCTGCGGTTATCCGAACAGGCTTTATAATTAATTCCATTGTTCGAGCAGTCTGGGATATACATCTGGTGTGCCTACACGTGCAGGCTACGTACGTGTGAGCGCCTATGTACGGTTACACAGATGTCTATAATATATCTGTATGTGCGTGTGTATATGTGTATATATAGGGCAACACGAACAATTACGAAGGACGATCGTCGGCCGCCTCGGCGTTTCCTTTACGCGCGGCAATACCGTTAATCACGTAACAGTACGGGCCGCGATTGGCTGAGCGGCGCGCACTCTCGGGTTTACGCGATATCGAGAGCTCCGCTTGTCGCCGTTCTCGCGCGTATTGCTCCGGCTGCACCCGACGCAGCGGCGGCGGCGGCGGCGGCCATTACGCGTCCAGAAAGCATTTCCATTCGAATCACGCCGGAAATTATCGCGCTGCGCCGGTCGGGGCTAAAAGAGGGAAACGATGCC